TTTTTCCCACAAGAGATAAATTTAAACTCATCCCTCCCTGGTGGTGCAACTGGTTAGGACTCAGCGCTGCAAGCTGGCTGCAGCCACTTCAGTGCGAGTTCCTTCCTGGCCAGGAGCTGACCCACATGGCGCTGCAGACCTCTCCTGTCTCACCCACTGCTCCCCTCAGCAGTGTACTTCATGGATCTGCCTGTTCAGCTCCCAACTCTGTCTCTGGTGAAGCCTCTCACTGCTCCTGCACCTCTGGCTTGTATCCCAGTTCTGTATGAATAAATAAATAAATCTTAAAAAAAAATACTCTCAAAGTTAGAAATAGATTGAAACAGCATGAAAAGTTTTTTTTTGACCTATACACCTCATTGTTAATAGTGAGGAAATGATACTCAAACATCTTCATAGCTCCTTTCTTTGTATGTTAAGATTTCAGTAAATCACACCAAAATATTATATTAGCAAGGTTTATATTCCATTAAAAAGTTCTCTAATACCTAATTTTTACTACTAAATTTGTTTTTAAATATGATCATTATCACATTTGACCAGGCTTCAGAATTTTTTTAAATATGTCTTAGTTGGGTGAAGTTCATGATGAAGTAGAATATTTTTAAAGGTCTGGTGTCTGCTATATATTCTGATTTATTGTATATTTTAGAACAACTGACTATTGCCTGGAAAACTTTAAGAACAGCATGACTAGGCAAAACAAAATTTTTTGGGTCACTCTTACTTTTCCTCAGAACATTCCCTCAGGCATTGTGTGCATATGTGAAGAAATCTAGATGTAGCCTGATTATCATCTGTGTAAATTGTCTTTTTTTGCTGTCTTTGAAGTTTATAACTTTACTAAGTATATTTTAAAACTTTTTTCAGTTTTAAAAAAGGGTATATTTAAGACCCTTAGGCAATGTTTTTCTTCTGATAGCTTTGATTGTTTTATTTTACTGTTTTTGTTTTTCCAGTGAAGATTCTAAAAATATTATATCCTGGTAAATGTGTACTAGCTAGCTCTCTGAAAACAGAGAGCTGATCTGTAGTGTTTGCCCATGTCTGTGGTAAAAACACTCCCACAATGATTGATTTCAAGCTGCCAATGTGATGTTACTGAAAGCAGAGCTAGGAAGAGGTATAATCCAATCAGATCTTGTCATTGGCTGTAATCCACCCAGGATGGTACTAGTTATATGCACGTCAGAGTTCCTTTGCTTACTTCCATATACGTTTCCTATACTTGTTTTTTGCCCGTTTGTTACTGTGTTTAGACTTACTTTTTAATTTTATCTTTCAAATGGTTTAATAACTTCCATTTTCCCCTACCCCTCCCACCACCCCCTTTTTCATATACTTCTTGTTTATATTTCTGAAAACCTTCATTTCCATCCCCTGTTCTTTCTCCCCCCTGATAATCTATGCAAATATTCTGCCTGTTCTGCCCCCCACCCTATCTGTGGTGAAGCCTCTCACTGCCCCTGCATCTCTGGCTTGTACCCCACCCAGTTCTGTATGCATAAATAAATAAATCTTTAAAAAATATATTTGTAGAAGCTAGAGGTGGGGAGCAGAACAGGCAGTGAAATAGGAATACACTGCTGAGGGGCGCAGCATGCGGGTCAGGAGAGGGCCGCCACACCATGTGGGTCACGTCTGGGGCAGGGGATCAAACTCGCAATGAAGTGGCTGCAGCCAGTTTGCAGTGCTGGGTCCTAACCCATCCTTTTTGAGGTATTCACTGATGAGTAGAATGGTAACGGTGAAGTAAATAAGCTGGGGCTGTCTGAACCATGATTCCAGGGTTGCCTTAAAGATATCTGTCAACCAGTCTATTAAGTTCTCTACTCAGGTACATCTCTTCACAGCTTTTGTATTATGGTGGGTAGAAATTTGGAGAAGCAAAATAACTTATATAAGTGGCTGCAGGCTATTTATTATAGCAAAACTACAGAACCAATCTAAGTGTCTCAGAACAGATGAGTGTATCGAGATGATGTACCATACATATGCAATGGATTATTCAGCAATCAAAAAAGTTAAATTCATGCCATTTGTGCTAACATGAATGGAGCTTGAAAGGGAATGCTAAGTGAAATAAATCAGAAAGAGAATTACAAATATTAGATGGTGTCACTAATAGTGGAATATAAAGTTATCAAATCAATAGTCAGAGACAAACTGAAAAATTAACCTTTGATAGCTGACTATACTGAAACACCAAGGAGGTGAGGGTGGGGATTGGCTGACAGAGAGGAGAGAACAAAGAAGGAAGAAAACACAATGGTGTTTTATGTGGTGGTGGAAAATGGATGAGTTAGTGGTGGTTGCACTATGGTACTAATACCAGATGGGATTATACCCCAATATGGGGTAATACCCCACAATTACCTTAATTTAAAAAAATTCAATTTACCCAAATGGGCTAATACCCCAATATTACCTTAATTAAACAAAAAAAGTCAATAAGAAAACAAGACACCTGCAAGACAAATAGATTGCTATAGATTGCTATACTTGTCTCACTCAACCTGAGTCACATTCTCTCCATGACCTCCACCAGCAACCCCCAATGCAAATCCCCAACTTTTAACTCTCTGAGCATTGCTGAAAGTCTATTTCTTATATATAAGTAAAGTTTCTGATCCCTACTTGACAAATCAATACAGTCAAATTTTTTTTTTATATTTTAAAGTACTGCATTAAAAAAAAGTATGTGCTGAACAAAATAATGTATTGCCAAGACACCCTAAATGAAGGACTTGTTATCTCAGTTGCAGGGACTGCTGTTAGTAGAAGACCTTTAGTTATTAGCTCCTTTATGGATTGCCTAGCTTCAGAGGGCTGACTTTTCAAGTTCATGTTCATGCCCCTTCCAAGGCAGTTCACACTCAGTGACCTGATATCAGGATATAAAGGGCTGGATAATTCCAGCTAACTTGGGACAGTTCTGAAGAAGCATCCTAGCTTCAGATCTCCAAGAAGGCTGGCAAGATTATCACCGGCCTGCATCATAACTCTTAACTTCTACTTCTCCCTACTCCTACTTTTTGTCGCTCCTATCCACAGGAGTTTCTGCTTAATCAACACATTGCCTGTGGAACGCACAAGAAACATTATATAAAAGGACTTAATGCAATGCAGTATTTATAGAAATGGCATTATTATTTGTTTAAAATCTCTACTTTGCATGCCTCTTAAATGAATTTGAGGCAACTATCATCAGAGTACTTTTCTAGTAGAAACAAGCATACAAAACAAAGACTTTTTTATAATGGCAAAGAGATTGTGATAAATTTCAGTATCTCAAGGCAAATTTTTAATGGATACCAATCAATCACAAATAGACAACAATAATCATAAAATATTTCCTGCATTTGCATTTGTGCCACATACAAAAAAGTAAAATATAGGAACTATACAAATTAGTGTGGAGGGGGAGTGGGAGTGGTTAGTTAAGACCACTTAAGTGACTTTGAAAATAGAAAGATGGATTTAGGGATTGTTTTCTTTAAATGGAAGCACAGAGGGTATGTTATAACAGAACACATTTCTCCTCTATACATAGGAAAACTGAGGGAAAAAAGTAATTAACCATTTATTTTATGGTTCTTGTTTTGATAGCACAACTTCTATATTAAGGTTACTGAGCGAATGGAAAGTTATATTGTACCATTAATTAGAAAACTGTTAAGATTTTTGAGTCCAATAATAGGTACCAATGGAGACAAACCCTTACTTTTAATCTGCTGTTCCATTACCAAAAATAAATACCATATACAATAACTTAAGAGGGACAGTTGAGGACAGATACGAGTGTGATCTCCAAGGTTAAAAACTCATGACTGGTCTTTTAAATGTCTCTCTCTCATTTTAGTGTGGACAGTGAACAGTCTTGACCATGCTGGAGTCTTCTAGGATTGGGAAGAGAGTGAACATTGGTAGAAAGAGGGATTCAAGACAAACCACAAGATAATATTGCAAGCTACAGCTCTCTCACCAAAGCCTTGTCATTTCTTGGTACATAAACAAATGTCTTTCATCCCAATCTGTCAGTTTTCTTAATTCTCACTGTTGTACATGCAAAAAATCACAATACCCATTGTGAGTTTTTGTCCCAGACAGGAAAAGCATGGGACTGCCAAGGCTGACTGGTCCAGATTTGTTTAGAGACCCTCAGTTACCACCTACTTTGCTAGCCAACTAGCAAATCAAACCTGGAAAGGTGCAGTGCTTTCTTCTTCAGGCCGCAAATTCCAAGTCAGCTGCCAGTTTGCCCCAGTGCTCAGAGTCTAGCACTACAGAGAATCCTCCCCCCCACCCCCAGCCCGGGGAACAGAATGCCAGAGGCACCTTCTCTACGGTTACACCTTTTGTGGGAAAATGCAGGTGGTGGTGAGTTTCCTGTAGATGCCCGGCAGGCCAGTTGAAGTGTGTGTGTGTGTGTGTGCGTGCGCGCGCAGGCCAGTTGAAGTGTGTGTGTGTGTGGGGGGGGGCATTCTCCAAATCCTTGCTAAGTGCGAGGACCAGATCCTTGGTCCTTAATAGCGTGGTTAAGGACCAGCAGCACCCGGAGCTAGTTTGATGGGCAGAATGTCCTGGCTGCTAGTTTGATTTGCAGGATCTCAGTCCCGAGGCGAGACCTTCAGAACCCAAATCTGCATTTTAATTTATCCGCACGTTGAAGTTTGCGAAACCCGGGATCTCGGTGTTAGCACCGAGGTTAGCGGACTGATCTCTGTTCGCTCCCTCCCCCTTACAGCTCTCCTCTTAAGCCCAACCCAGTCCTTCACAGGTCCTATATAAAATTTATCCGAACCTGGCGTTTGTGGGAAGGGACGTGCAGAAGCTGCCACGTCGGGGAGGGCCGAGGTAAGGTATGATTGGATTGCAGAAAGATTATTTTCCCCAGCCCAGGGCTCCGCGGAGTGCAGACACTCCCCCGACCCTCCCCCCACACCTCTCCACCCCCACCCCCCGCAGCTGCTACCGCCTGCCTCCCGCCGGCTGCCGCGAAAACCCGGAGCAGCTGCGTGCGTTCACGGAAAGTCCTTCTAGGGGCGAAGCCGGCCAGCTGGGCATGCTCAGTAGCTGGGGGAGGCTTGGGTGGAGAGTAGAAAGCTTTGGCTCAGCCTCCCACCCCCTCCCTCAGGCCCCCGCCCCCCTTGCCCCTACACAGCCCGTAGTAGTTGCCCGGCGTGCGCCCGGGGAGACCAGGAACATGGCGCTGCGAGCGATGTAGCCGCGGAGGAGAAGGGGGTGAGGCACCGCCGCTTCGCTGACAGCCAGCCACCAGGTACGCTGGCGCGCTTGGCGGGGCTGCCAGGGTGGATAGCCTCGTGGGGAGGGGCGCTTGCGGGGATGCGCACGGCCAGGACCCCGGGCATCTTGCGTGGCCGGGCGAGGATGTGGAGCGGACATCTGTGACAGCGCGCAATTGTGCATCTCCTAGGAGATGCCAGAGGCTGGGGACCTGCTGGCCTGAGGGGAGGGGTGGGGGGACCGCCTCCTAGCCCCTCCACGCCCTCCAGCGTGGGCTCTCTACAGGTCAAATAAAGGATAGTTCTTTCTGCTGGGTGGGAGGGCATGGGGGAGAACCTCTGAAATCAGCCTCGCGAGCAAGCTGGTCCCCGGACCACTAGCCAACCCAGCACCAGTTCTTTGTGTATACAGCAGCGCACACCCGGGGGGTGCCGCGGTTCCTGCTTCTCCAGAGCCGTGTTGGGCATCTTACCAGGACCGGATTCCTTATGATTTTTGTTTCGTGGCAGGTGTAGACTGAAAGATGCAATAGCTGAGCCTTTATGGGGCTGTTTTCCTTTGTTACTTGTCTTGGGGTGTGTGTGTGTGTGTGTCTGGTGGGTTGTAATGGAGAGAGAAGTTCTATTCGTGGGCACCGGCACGGGTGCAGGCAGAGCGTGGAAGAGGATTTCCGTTCCAAACTCATGTCAAAATTGAGTGTGATGTTGGCCTCCTAGAAGGTAAACTTGAAAAGTCCAGGGATCATCAGTGCCCAGTTTGCAGAAGAATGAGCACTCTTCTGGAACGTGTGTGTGTTTGAAGCTTTAAGCATAGGATGGCACAAAGCCAAAGAAAAGTGTCATGGTTAATAGTTAATGACAGCTTGAAAGGCAGAATACACTTTTGGGGAAAACAGGGAACCCGGCATTCCACACGGGTAGGAAAATAGCAATCATGTCATAGGTTACTTCCACACCTCTCAGCTCATCATTTTCTCTGGTGGCATACAGACTTTCTCACCTGAGTCCAGATGGTTAAGTGCTCTTTAGAAGCCCTTTCTATGCCAGAACTCGATGCGATTGACACCTATAATAACAGCTTTACTTGTATTTGTGTATCTGTTGTATTCAGCAGCACAACTCTGAGTTAGGGAGGGAAGGTAAATTTAGAATATGCTTCTATTTTTTTGCTATGTAATTTAAAGGATGGACATCTGTGACTATGAAGTTTAGAGACACTTCCCTCAGCACTTACTATTTATTTTTATGGTCTTGTTAGGTGGCAAGAATGAGTCACTATCTTCAAAGTGAAATAGGGAATGCTTGAGGAAAACGCATTTAAATAAGTTAAAGTCATAAATGTCCAATCTTGATGGCAAGTTCATTGATAGTGTTGATCCTAGAATAAAGCTTATGTTCCTCTGCAATGGGTGTAGATTGATTGTACTAGATTCTCACAACCTCTTGTTTGTCTGACTTTGAATTTTAATTGCAGGTATTGAAAACCTTTTGGCAGTTCTGTCAGAGCTGCTAAAACACTGCAGGTGTGAGGCAGGTGGTCAAGGGTGGGGTATTATCTTGGTGATGAGACACTGAATTTGAACTGACTCTTCCATCTTTAGCTTATGGTCTTGGGTTAGCTGTTTAACTTTCTCAAACCTGTTTTCTCACTCATAGAACAAGACTAGGAATAGTAAGAGCTACCTTAATGGGTAGGTGTGTGATTCACCCATAAACCACCAAAAAATGCTGGTGACCATTTAAAGAAGGGAAATGGATGATTATTAAACTCATAAAATACATTCTATGGTATATTAGGTTCAAGTGTGAGTTACACAAGCTTCTCAAGTATATTAATTTCATAGGGCTGCCATTACAAATTACTTAAAGTTAAAGTGACTTAAAACAACACATTTATTCTGTCACAATTCTAGAAGCTAGAAGTCTTTCACAAGGTCTTGATAACTCTATGCTTCCTTCAAAATCTTTACATATGGATTCTTACTTACCACTTCTAGCTTTTGGTAGCTCCATTATTCTTGACTAGTGACTGCATAACTCCAATCTATGCTCCTCACCTCCCTTGGGCCATCTTTGTGTTCAGAAATCTCTCTTCTTATTAGGACACCGTTCCTATGGGATATGGGGCCCACTCTAATTCAGTAGGACTATATCTTAATTTGATTTTATCTGCCAAGACCATTTTAAGTGAGATCACATTTCAGGCTCCACATGGATAAGATATTACGCACATGTGCAGAAGATAAAGATAGAGTATGAGTCCAAAAAGACGTTAAAGGCTATAGAATCCAGCTAACCTGTTTGTGGTTTTAGTTACCCAGCAAGGATAGGGAGAGCAACATTCAAAGGTACTCCATTTATACAAATATCACTTATCTGAGATCCAGACAAGCTGGGATCTCAGTCTCCTGCAGGTGACCCAAACATAACCTGTTACACATGTTTTACACACCAACGCAACAGAAAACCAAATTAAGTAACAAAAATGTCAATAGCAACGAAACAACCCTTTAATATGGTCCCAGTCTTTCTGTCTTAGAAAGGGGCATATTTCTCTTGGAGTTGTTTTAACCAGAAACTCAATAATTCTCTTATCACTTTGGCCCTCCACATTTAAAATCATTGTGCAGTCATATGACTTCTGCATGTTCCTAAATATATCTTGATAAAACTTATTTCCACCCTGCTCTCCTCCCCCCATCAACCCACATCAAACTTCAAGTAATCACCTGGACCACTAGTATAACTTTTTTTTTTAATATTTACTTATTTATGCATATAGAACTGGGGTACAGGCCAGAGATGCAGGGGCGGTGAGAGGATTCACCAGAGAGAGAGTGGGAAGCAGAGCAGGCAGATAGATGGCAGTACACTGCTGAGGGGAGCAGCAGAGGACACAGGAGAGGTCTGCACCATACAGATCAACTTCCACTGACGCTGCTGAGGCCACCAGGGAGGGCCCCTAGTGTAACTTTCTAACAAGACTTCTGTTGTGTGTTCCTCCAGTCTTTTACTCAGAATAGATGGAATCCTGTATTCACACACCTAACATATTCCAGAGAGACTCCCAGAGTCTTGGGATCTTGGGCATTTTTCCCTCTCGCTGCAGTCACTGACGTCCTCTTCCTTGATCTTGTTTCTGTAGATTTTGCCTGTCCAAGCTCTACTTATCCTTAACTTCCTTTCCCACCAACTCATTATCCTACTTCTTGCATAAGTATTCATTGCAATTTAAACTTTTCTATTTGTTTGGTGTAATAACTAATATAATATTATTATGATATAATACTTACAATGTCTATAAACTCTTGTGTACCATTTATTTTGTGCTTTGCCTGGAGAAGATGCTCCAAAAAGTTTGGTGAATGAGTGAAGGATTGTCCCTTAGCACTTTTTTTAGGCTAATTCAATGATACGATTTTTAAGAAACTTTTAAACTTTAAAATTTTAAATTTGTGTTAAAAAAATTAGAACTTCATTATAACTTCAAAAGAGGAGTATCTTGGCTTTAACAAGTGCATCTTTTAAGAATTGGCTTTAAGCAAGTAAAAATTTGAGTCAGTATTTTCTAGCAGCTAGGATTTTGTAAAAACACATCCACCAACATTTCACAGATATTTATTAGGCACTTATATTTGCCATGCTAGGCCCTAGGAGGACAATGGTAACCCAGATATCTAGCCTTCTAGAGATTAATAATAATAAGCAATCATATGTAATAATTATAAATAGAATTTATTGAGCTTGTGTTTTATGCCAGGTTCTTTTCTGTCTGTATCCATTCTAGTTACTATAGATAGTCCTCTTATCATTCCCCGTAATCCAGATCCCAAATCAGATGCACGGCAAATATTTGATGAATTAATAATTAGTAGGTACTGATTTTTTAGGTAGGGAATTTGTGTTAATCTGGTGGGAAAGGGAATCTGCTAATATGTAGAAAGCATGCAGTTGCTTTCTGAATGTATCTAGATGGGTTCTGTTCTATTTTAGAAACCATCCTGGCTGTTGTCTCTTGGGTGAAAAGACACACATTGTTCTTTATGACAACAAGTTCCTGGTGTGTTTCTTTGTCTTCCACAGTTGTCGAAATTCTTAATCACTAGCTGAATTGTTTTATTCTATTTATGCAAGTGAAAAGTGACTTAATGTCTCTCTCACTCAGAGCCTTTTTTGGGTAGTTTTGAATAGTAAGTTTGAGTACCTGAGGGAAATCAATGTGGTTCAACACAGGTTACATTTTGTATTTCTTGGGTGGTTACAACTTCACATCATCTCATTACTCTCATAAAAGGCAGTATTCAGTAATATATAATGAACATGCAATGCATATGCTTAAGTATAACTTTTCCACAGAAGTAAATAAAAATTAGACATTGTGTCTAGATTTGAAGGGATGATACACAGTTGAGTCAAGTAAAAACGAAAAGAAGTAATGAGAGCTCAGAAAACTGGTTAACTATAAAATACACATTAAGAAACCAGTGACCATCCCAAATGCCAGTTTTTACCAACTAAAAGGCAATAGAAAATGATTCTACTCATGAACCCACAAAAGAAAAAAATAAATTAGGAAAATGGTACCTGTGCATACATGTACATCAAATCCTTGGGAGTAATAAGAACTATCTAAGGACTTGTGTAGAAAACTGTAAAATTTCACACACATAAAAGAAATAATGAAAACATAACCATATATTTGAGTAGAAAATTGGATATTATCAAATGATTATTTTCCCCCAGATTATTTATTTAGTTTTATTGCATTGGGGTTGGAAGAACTTGACAAAATGATTCAATATTCATCTGGAAGAATAATTGTATGACAGTAGTCAAGAAAGTTTTACAAAAAATATATATGAAGTAGGTGTGGGTTGCCCTTTAGAAATAAAAATCTGATGATTGAACTGCAATCATTATAGCAGTGCAGTTAGTGCTGGTGGGCTGTCAGCTCAATGCAATAGAATATTCTGGAGAGACAGCTAGTTTGGGGAAATAGATATGTGGTAGAGAAGGCTTTTTGAAATAGGTATTT